ACCCTAAACCCCAAACCCTAACCGTACAGAGCGTTTCATTTTTCAACCCTAATCCGAAATCCTGGACGGATCGTTTGAGAAGCTAGGCAGCTGACGGGCTGCGAAATTTCAAGCTCTGGGTTCCAGAATTTCGGTGTTAAGGGTTTAGGGCTTTGGGTTTCGAGTTTCGGGCTTCGGGTTTAGGGGTTCAGGGTCGAGGGTTAAGCTTTTCGGCTTCGAGTTTAGGATGGCTTCTGAACTTTCAGACCCTAAGCCTTCAACTCTAAACCCTAAACATTCAACTCTAAACCCTAAACATTCAACTCTAAACCCCACACCTTAAACCCTAAAACCCTAACACCCTACACCCTAAACTTTCGGGCATGATGCCTCTCAGGTTCGAAGAAGCTGCGAAGCTATGGGGGGGCGCCAGGCTCCAGAGGCAGAGTTAGGGCTGTATGGCTTTAGGGTTTTCAGGGTTTTAAGGTTTTTTCGGTTGCAGGGCTTTAGGGTTTTTAGGGTTCTTAGGGTTTTTAAAGTTTTTAGGGTTTTTCGGGATTTAAGGTTTTAGGGTTTTAGGGTTTTAGGGGCTTTAGGGTTTAGGGCTTTAGGGTTTTAGGGTTTAGGAATTTAAGGTTTAGGGCTTTAGAGTTTTAGGGTTTAGGAATTTAGGGGCTTTAGGGTTTAGGGTGGCTCAGTACCCTGGCTAACTACTCATCGAAAGATTTTTGGGTTTTGTCTTGGATTTAGGGGTTTAAGGGTTTAGGGTTATTCAAAACACCTGAATTGAGGAAGATTATATCGAAAGAACCTTGAAAGAGTTTGGGGGAACCTCAAGGGGGGTGTGAAGTGGGTAAGGTTGTAAGGATAATCCGAACGACAAGCCCTCGCAATGTCGCCAATAAGTCTAAACCCCTAAACCCCCAAGACCCCAAAAATGAAACAAAACCCCCACGAACCTCTAAACCCCTAAACCCAGAACCCTAAACTCCTAGAACCCTAAACCCTAAACCGAAACTCTTAGAGCCCCAAACTCCTCTCTGCCCCTTGAAGCAAGCTCTTTCGCGCCTCTTTCAGCGCGAACCATCGTCCCCAACCTCGGCTCCGTCGCTTTTTTTAATGCTTGGGGCTGTCGTGCTTAAGGTTGAGGGTTTAGTGTTCTAAGATTTTAGGGTTTCGGGCTTCAGGTACAAAAACCCAAACCCACTTCCAACCTCTGAGGCTGCAGCTGAGCCCGTGCTTCGTCAGGGCGCCCAGCTGGTCCAGGGAGACGCGGAGCGGGCAGGGCCTGCAATAACAAGAGGCCTTTAGGATAAGACTTGTGTTTAGGATTTTGGGCTTAAGGGTTTGGGGTTTTAGGGTTTTGGGCTTACGGGTTTAAGGGTTTAGGGGTTTAGGGGTTTAGGGGTTTAGGGGGTTTATGGGGTTAGGGTTTAGGGCTTTGGGTTGAGGGGGCTAAGTCTTAGGTTTTAGGGCCTTGGGGACCAGGGCTACTCTGAAGGGTTACGAATCCTACAAAGGCTCTATATATCAGGGATACGCTATGAATCCTAGAAGCGCCCTATATGTACTATAACACCCTAAACCCTAAACCCTTATAAGGGGTGCTAAGGCTTCTAGGGCTTTAGGGCTTCAGAGCTTAAGGTTTAGGCCGTCAAGGTTTTAGGGAATGAGGCGGCTTAGGAAATCCTGACGTGTTTTTGAGGTTTGATCCTGGCGGATTTGGAAGTAAAGTGTCCTATGGGGCTGTCATGTTCCCTAAACCCCTACACCCTAAAACCCCCTAAACCCGTAAACCCCTAAACCCCTAAACCCCCTGAACCCCTATAAACCCCTAAACCCCTAAACCCTAAACCCTAAACCCTAAACCCTAAACCCAGAAAGCAGAAGCCCCGGCGGAGTCAAGAAATCAGGGTTCCCCCGTGTTCACGCCTTGGGGTTTGGGGTTTAGGGATTTGGGGTCAAGGCTTTTTGTGGTTCTATTAGTCTTGCTGGTTAAGGGCTCGTTGCAAAAATCACTAAGAAGCGATTCAGATTAGGAGAAAGAACTCGCAAGCCCAAAACGCTAAACTCTGAGGAAAAAAGACCAGGGTTTGGGGTTTAGGGCAGACTCACCACCAACCAGCGCTAGCTCCCGCAACAACTCGCGCCTCTCGCTGCCAATCGACAGGTGAATGGTCGGTAGTGTCGGCGCTAAGCTTGATCGCTCCTGTAGCCATGACAGGGTTTCTGGTTTAGTTCAGGGTTTGGGGTTTGGGGAGTGACGGGAGCTTGAGTTGAAGGCAAGGGTTTATCAAGGACCACCCAATCAACCTATCTTGGAGAAAGATGCTTCTACATCTTGCCAATGAGTGTTGAAAACGTGTTGGTGGAGCAGCGGGAGCTTTCCCTGGAGTTTTGTGTGGGCTGCGCCCCCGTACACCGTAAAGCCCTTTTGACCCAAAGAACCAAAAGCCGTGAACCATGAAACCATGCATTCAGGCATCTACGTTACATATACATATCATATATATATATATATATATATATATATATGTATATATATATATATGTTATTTATATATATATATATATATATACACAATTATATTTACTTTTATATGCATTTCTCGAAACCCCCCTCCCCATCTCCGGCCCTAAAGCTCTAAACCCTTAACAGTTTAGGGTTCAGGGCTTGGGATTTAGGGTTTAGGGCACTTTGAACTGAGCTTCAACCCTAAGTTCGAAAACCTCCAGATTCCTAGCACCCTCACATCCAAACCCGTAAACGCCAAACCCTAATCCCCGAAGAGCGTAGCTTTCGGGTTTGAGTTTGACCCTCGACCCTGAACCCTGAAGCTTGCGGGGTTTAAGTTACAGTTCAAGGAGTCTGAAGTTAGGGTTTAGGCTTTAGGGGTTTAGGGGTTTAGGGTTTAGGGTTTGACTAGTTAGTTATCGGGTTTCAGCTTTAGACAGACAGACAGACAGACAGACAGACAGACAGACAGACAGACAGACAGACAGACAGCAAAAACGAAGTTGGGCTTAGGGTTGTGGGGATTGGTTTAGTTTCAGATTGAGGGTTTTCAGGTTTGGAGTCTAGGGTCCCTGCTTGGAGGTTCATGGGTAGTTATAAGTGGGGTTATAAGTAGGGTAACTACAATTATAACCCATATTACGGGACTTATAACTCCACTTATAACTGACCATGAACCTCCAAGTAGCCCCCAAACCCTAAACCCT